ATCTGAAAGTTCTTCCAAGTCACCTAGGCACCAGCTCCAACCCTACCAACTCACAGTGAGGAAGAAAAGGCAGCTTTGTACTAGGAATTAGAAGACCAGCATTCTAGCTCTGGCTCTGCCAAGAGAAGGAAAACAAATCATAAAAAGTCCATGATTTATCCTTTGTCTTCTAAGAAATCAAGAGAATTTCCCTCTGACCCCCTGTGTAGCTCTTTCAGAGTCTAAGCTGCACTTCTACTAATAAATGATGCCAGATGGGTGGGGTCCAGACATCCACTAACTCAAAGACGCTACACTGTCATCAATTTCCTATTTACCTTTGAGTTACATTTTTGATTTGTCTACTCCTTTATTATGTTTCCAAGACATATTTTAGAGAAAGTACCACAAAACAGAGATATTTTGGAATAAACTAATTGAAATGCTAAAAGGAACCAAACTGTCCCTTGGTTGTTGTTATTATCCACAGAGAACCATTATGTCATGGTTCAGGAAAAATTGAAAGAATCATTCATCCTGCCTCTAACTGAGCCTCATTGAGCAATATTCTTTCCCTCTCTGGGCAAAAACTTTCCTTCTGTAAAGTAAGAGTTTGGCTACGTGACCTTGAAGGCCCACCTAAACTCTGATAATCTGTGATGATATGAGTCTGTAATTCACCCCACAACCACCTCCAAACTTCCCATATCTGTTCTTCTAAAACTATTCACACATTTTAAAATAATTACAAATCTTAGTTCCAAAAACTAAGGTAGTATAATTGCATAACTCTGTGCAGTGGCACGGATATATATTTTTACATGTTATGTAAAATTTGCTAAAGGAGCTCTCCCCAAACCTACTGTAGCCAGAAGCACTGTTGCTATACCCCCTAAATTCCACCCCTTACTATAAAAGTCCTTGGGCATCCAGAGGGCTTCTCAGACACCGAGTGCATGTGATTGCATCTGCCAGTCCCCTTTGCACTCCACATGTCCTATATTGCAATTGAACTATCTTATTCTTCAAATAAGGCATTCACTTTCAACATTCCTTGACTTTGCCATCCCTTGAATCACATGCCCTTCCCATGACATACACAGCCAAGTGGACTCAAATGCTACCTGCTCTGTGCCGTCCTCCCTGACACGTCCTTAGAAAGGTATAAAGTATAATGCTGATATTCCTAAATTTTTGATTTTTCAACAAGTTCAACATCTGGTTTGTCACATGACAACTTAAAGTAGCACACTGAAGCCTTTCTTCTGTGTCCTCTTAAATTGTTTGTGTGCTTATCTCATCTGTAAGACTAGGAATTACTCTAGGACATGTTGATGCTAATCTTGACATCTCACATGCCTAATCCACAGTGGGATCTCAATAAATGTTAGATGAATGAGTGAAACTGGAAAATTAAGCCATATTTCCCAAATAGAATTATGGATAAATAAGCGAACAGAACTAAAGTTGGAAAATCCGTGAGTGGGAAATGCTCCTTTGGAAAAAGGAGGAAAATGCCCCACAAAATCTATTTTTAAGAGCTAGACGTTTTTCAAAGTTGTATGTGAGTAGGGCTCCTTTGGGCCTCTTACTGTGCGAAAATTCCACATATACGATCATCCCCCCCCCCCCACCCCGATCCATGAGTCAAAGCAGCCTCACTAAGGTGATTCAGAGGTGGGTTCGGGAAGGCACACAATGTGCTTAAACAACGAGAAAGTGCAGACCCACTAGCCTACTCTAAGTCGTCAGGGGACTCAACAAGTGTCGCAATTTGCTTTGGCTCCAAAATGGAAACATCAAAGTTGGGCATTAACAGTCTACATTTCTAAGACTTCTCAAGTACCTTTTAATTACAATACAACACAGTCTACTGCAGACAACATCTTCTCTTGGCACATGTTTTTAATATTTTAAGTGTGTGATTATTGTTCTCACAGCATATAATTATGTTAACCAATAAATACTAACATATCTAATTCAGTTCCATCAGAGGGAAGATAATTCAGAAGACTGAGCTGTATCTCCCAATTAACTCTTGCTTTCCTAAGTTAGAATAAGAAAAGTTAGAATGGGTGCGGAGCCTGTGGACAAGTGGTTAAGTTTACGTGCTCTGCTTCAGCGGCCCAGGGTTTTACCACTTCAGATGCTGGGTGTATACAGAGCACCGCTGGTCAGGCCATGCTGACGTGGCGTCCCACATAGCACAACCAGAAGGACCTACGACTAGAATATCAACAATGTACTGGGGGGCTTTGGGGAGAAGACGGAGAAAAAAAAAAAGATTGGCAACAGATGTTAGCTCAGGTGCCAATCTTAAAAAAAAATTTTTTTAAAAGTTAGAATGGATCGCTCTTTAATTTCTAAATGGAACAGGCAAATCAGGAGTAGATTTGACCTTAATTCTCAACTTATTCTACTTAAAGGTTATCATTATTGTTTTTTAACCCTCTGAATGTTCTTCTTTTTATGAAAAAGCCATATTCAATGGACACTGTTACTCATATGACTGATTTCATAATTTTTGTCATTGGTAAAAACATCAAAAAAGAAAATCCTGATATTCTCAATCTGGTTCCAGAACTTAAAAATCAAACATAGCCCTGAATTCACAGTCCAGTTGTGCTCGTACTGTAGTCACGTGTCCTAAGACAAGTCACTTATCTGCTCAGTCTTAGTTTCCTCGCCCACAAAATAAGCACACCATCTATACCTCAGAGGTGAGATATTTATATCTCACTCAAGTGAGAATATGTGTGAAAGTGCTTCACAGGCAGTCAAGTACAGTCCAAGTATCAGTGATCATGAGTTTGTGTGCAGAGTAAGATTGCTCAAGCAAAAACATAGCTGCTGAATAAACCCATTAAAATGCAGCGGTTTATGGCAGGCATGTGGAGACACAGCCTTAAAGAATGAAGGCTATATTAAGCAAAAACCTCTAAGCAGAATCTCCCCAACATATATTAGGGTATGAGAATTTAGGAGGCAAAAAAAAGACTAAACAAAAACTCTGTTAATGAAAAAGGGAGGGGGTGCCATAGAGGTATCTGAACGCAAGATGGGTGAGTCCAGGTGCAAAGTCAGCGGCCTTGCTGTCCTGAAAAACTGGGCTTGAGGTAATTGCTTGTATGGAATGGGAAATATGCTTAACATCAAACAATGGTCAGAAACCATGAAGTACACAAAGTTTGCTGGAGAATATTTCTCAGACCTGGGCCCATCCTCCTTCAGCTTTCCAGAGTTGGTCTTCTTTCCTATGTTCCTTTTTCAGAATGAATTTTAGCTTTCCACAGCTTGAAAACCTTCAAGTATTCCCCGATATCTACAAAAGGCAGGCCAAAATCTTACTCTGGCATTTAAACTAGTCCACAGGCTGTCAGCAGGAAACCTCCCGTCCTACAGCCCACTTCAAGCCTGCGATGGCCTCATCTGCAGCCACCTGGCTCTCTGCAGTTCTCCAAAGGCAGCCTGGACCTCCCTGCCCTATGGCTTAGGCTGCTCTCCCCTCTTGCCTGCAACATATTACAATTGCACCCATCCCTCCAGCTGAACATGCAAGTCTTCTGATAAAGCTTCTCAGATTCTGCCACCTTCAAAAGAATGTTTCACTCCCTTTCTTGCACTTCTACAATATCTGACATAGTTTAACTTACAATATTATGGGCTTCTGGGTCTTGGGTCCTATTTTTCCCCCTTTCAACCATCCACTTTCCTTCTCCTAACAGTTCCCCCAAAAGACCAGAGTGTCTGCTACATACCTGCAGCTCAGTGCATGTTTTCAGAAACGAAGTGCATTTTCACCACTGGCAAGTCTGTAGATAGCTAAGGAAGCCCTAAACTCTAGTCTGTTTTGCCTTGTGCCTCCAAGTAGATGACAGTTCCATTATGTGTCTAGGAAAGGTAATGGGAATATGTCTAAAGAGGAAAGCACTGCCACCTTACGTGCAGTTCTGTGTTGAAATGACTGACAGCAGAGAAGCAAGATTGGTTTTTAATTTGTGAAAGGAACATTGTGAATATAGGAACTGCTGTTTAAGAACAGGAGCGAGACTCAGAGTGCCGTGTGCACTGTCACTTAGTCAGTCAGGCATCATGCAAGAGTCAAACAACACAGCGACAACAGTGCCACGGCAATGTTTGCATCTAGAGTTCTGCTGGCTGTCCCTGAGGACTTGGAAGCCCTGAAATCAAGTTGCCATTACCTTCTCAAGACCTGAGCAAGGCAGCGAATGACTACTAGCAGAGGAAAATCGGCTTCTGAAAGGTAGATAACAAACTAAGATGCAGAAAAATAGCCAAGTTCCAAAGTAAGCAAAAAAAAAAAAAAAATGCACAGAAAAATGGACAGTGAGTCACTACTTGCACTTGAAAAACACAGATTCACTGCTATCACCAAATTCCAGTGAGGCTGAGGAGAAACTGGTACATTCAAACTGTTGGTGCCAGTATAAGCTATTCACAACCTTTGGAAAGAAAGTAACGAAGGTGGTCATACTCCTCAAGGTAGAAATCCCACTCTGAGGATCTGAGCCAGGGAAAGAGCTCCAAAGAAAATAGACACGAACATGTCCCTCACAGCATTACTTATGAAAAACAGCCCAAAAATGGATGCCACCTTGATATCCAACACATAAGGAATTTCTTTACAAAAGACATAACTTCACCTTAACTTGAACATGGCCATGTTGAACCACATTGGTGAAGACTATACCAACATGGAACAAAACATCCATATGGGCAAAACCAGAAAGAGAGCGGGCCAATGGAATAAGAAGAGATTTAATTTTCATAGCATTTTTGTATAATGCTGTTATGTTATTTTAAAGCAAATACTAATAAAATCATTTAAGAAGTTTCTGTCTGTTAACAAATACATGTTGATATTAAACAAAAAGACAAGGTAGACTGTTGACTCTGAGAAGAACAAAAAAGAATGAAAGGGCTATATGAAGCAGCTTGTTTGTGAAACTTGTAGAGTACCTGTGGCTGGCAATGCAGAGACCATCACGGCCAACTCTTACCTGTGGGGGCCGAGGCTTGTAGGGGGAGCTGCACTCAAGATCAGCCAGGATGCTCGTCAACGAGTCTATCTCAGCATCCAGGCTGGAGCGTCTCTCCTCAAGTGTCTTGCCTCCAGGATTTCCCTGTTGGAAGGAACACAGACGTGTTAAAAAAGGAAATTTCCAGTTTCCATTGATATCAGTCTGAGATCACATTTCTCAAGTTAGACTGTGGCTTCATCCAAGCTTTCCTGCATCTTATTTTTTGGTTTTTTTAGCTTTTATAAAATCTTGGTGAAGTAGTCCAGAGTAGAATTATCCCTTTTAGACAAGTAAGAAAACTGAAAGAGATGAGGTGATTTTCCTTAATGTCGCACACTTATTCAGTGGCTTTTTTTTTTTTTTGATGAATATACAAGTAAAAGGAAATAAATGCCTCCAGCCTTGTAGTCAAGATTCAGATCCAGCTGGGGAGACATTGCAAGTTCTTTGTGTTCAGGAACCATTGCACAGAATGACGACATCCTACTCGGCGCAGGAAGGGGAAGGGGTAGGAAGCTTACAGTCCAGGAGCGGGATCAGTGGATATTAGGTGTGTCCATGTGAAAGAGAGATGACAAGTCCTAAGTGATATGCCCAAAAGTGAACTAGAATGAGGCTGCTCAGGGTTCTAGCCATGTGGCTGCAGAGGAAGCATGGGGTGGTGACCACTGATTATGAAGCTGGCCATCTATGGATTGCATATGTCAATTCCTAGTGTTATCAGAAGCACTGACCTCCACCTTCACTCAGAATCAATATCGGGCAAGTAGAAGGCAATAACACCGCCACAGGGCATTCCCAAGAACTGTGAGCAGGCTTGGGAAAACCAAGATAAACAGTTTTCCTGAAGTGAAAGGCAAGGAAATATAAAGTGAGGGGATCCTAAGATTTGGAAGCAGGGTGAATTACAATAATATTTTAAGGTAACACAGTAATGATGATCATGGATTGTAATGGGGATGTCTCATAAAACTCCACCAAGAAACAAAACTGTATCTGCAGCAAGACCCTACCCGAATGAAATAATGGAAAGTCAGCGTAATCTAATCAACTCCACTGAACTTGTCTAAGGAAGTTAAATATCAGGATACGGTCTGGAATAGTTTAGAAAAAGCATGAGCCAAGAAACCAGAATATCCTCTGCAACAACAAAAAATAGGGTACTCTGACAAGCCAGCATTAAATCTTACAATTCTCTAGGTAAATTTATCTTTTTAGTGACTATGCAGCATCAGGCAATGATAGCATAATAGAATCGCCCATTAATACCACTTGTTCCTATTCCCCTGGTAGCTTGCTCCCCAAACTACCTTTCTTGAGTCCTAGAACCTATTTAATCTAAAGCAGCCTCCTCTTCGTTTTCTCACTCTGGATATATTTGTATGACCCTGCTTTGGCACTCTAACCCCTCACCCAGTTTTGTTTATTTTTTCTCATAATATCTATCACTGTCCAACATTATCTTTTATGCATATTTGGCTGTCTATCTTCAGTTTCTCCAGGAGAATGTAAGCTTCATGAGGGCAAGGACTTTGTTTCACACCTTGCTGTTTCCCCAGAATCTTGCTCAGGGCCTGATCCACGGAAGTGTTCAATAAATATTTTGAGTAAATAAATGAATAAATAATGACAGACTCTGCAACAGGTCTAGCCAGTAACCTTTTTCATATCAATATCTTTTGGGTAAAAGCACCTGGAGGTACAACAGGAACAGGAGACGCTCTAACATACAAAGTACACAGTGGGAAATAGAGAACCAAAAGGCTCAGTGTGCGTGTGTGCACACGAGTATGTGTCTGTGTATTTCACACTGTAAGGCCCACATTTGAAGGCTGACTTTGCAAAAATTGAGACATTTTCCTCAGTTCCCCAGCCATAGCCAAAAATGGAAAAACTGAAATGACAGGTTGGTTATGTTTTCTCAGAGTCTGAATTTCCCGTTTGACCAAGCCCTATAAGGCCAGTGGGTCTTTGTCCTAGGAACACATGTTTTCAAAGTGCTAATCTCTCTATCAGAGGTGATCTCATCCTTATTCCAATGCATATTAATAACTATAAAATATTGTGGTGTTTTAAAGAAAAAAATCCTGCTAACATTTAAAATTCACCTGAACATTCTGGCAATGGGTCCTAGTACAACAAGGCAAAGCAGGACATTATAGTGTTGGAAGGCAACTGAGAAGTGTATGCACCTGATTCTCTCACATGCAGATATAAAACATTATAATAAACATGAATTTGCAGGCGTTTTTCCATATACCCATAGCTAACACCACATGTTGGTAGGGATGGGGGATTGGAGTCTGGTTAATTTTTTCCCTGGGCCATGGTTTCCTCATCCATAAAACTAGGAGAACATACCTTGCCCTCCCCAAGCCAGAGGGATGTTACAAGATTCAGATAAGAAAATGGATGGGAAAATACTTTGTAAATTGTAAAGTGCTATAATTATGATGATTTTCATAAATAGCATTAATTATAGCAACCAGTAACTATAAATTAATATGAATAATATAGCTATTGTTAATTATTCTTCTTTTTAAGGGGAGCATCATTCATTAAGTGTTCCCTTGGGGTATGAGTAAAGAGACAGGATTTAATCAGGTCTTCAAAATCTGTACTTTACTCTAGCAGAAAGCACTTCAACGGCCCCTGCCCTAAGTCACTGGGATATCTAACTACAGAGACTCAAAAGTCACAGAATTACCCTGAGCTATGCAGTGAAACACGTAATTATCGTGCGCAACCAGCCTGTGCAGGTAAGACTTCAACTGGTATCCAGCTCCTTATTTACCCTTCCCTCTGAGTTGGAACTATCCCCTATTTTAGTTTCTCTTATTAGGTTGATGCAATTTAGTAAGCTCCAGCCTAATACTGTGGGATTTTGCACGAAGATTCCCTTTGCTGCTCTACTTGACCTTGTGATAAGAGCTTTGTTCCTTCCATTTTTATCTCCATTATGGAATAGAACAGGCCTCTTTCTTACCATGGAGTGTCTATTTTATGTCTCAGTTCAAATAACTGAAGTCGTGCCCAAGTCCCACCACCAATCCTTCTCTCAGTACTCTCATCTATTCTCTCAGCACCTTTAGATTCAGGAACTCTCTTGCTACTCTCCACACTTTATACTAGATACCAGAAGCCGCAGTCCTATAACCAGCTGACAGAATCCTACATACATACCTACAAGTCTTCTCCTTAACTCTCTCTCACTGTAGCTTTACCAGTCACCTGATGGCTCAATGACCTGCCTGAGCCCAAATAACAATGAAGAAGATTCTCCTGACTCTTTGCTTAATGCTTTTTCTAGATACCACATGAACAGCTATAAAGCAGTCATAGTAATAATAACAATTCTCATACTCTTCAAACATAACTAGAGAGATTCCACTGTCTTAGTCCAGGTTCTTCCAAAAAGCAAAGCCAGAGACAAAAGCTTAAATGCAGGTCATTTATTTGGGGAATCAATCCCAAGAAACAGTATTGAAGGACTGGAGAGTATCCATCCTCAGGCTCCAGTTCTCCATTGGCTGGGAATTGCCTATGGGGTTATAAACTCCCTCACATTTGTCCCAAGAAGTAGATGGTGGCAGAGAAGCCCCAGGACAGAAAGTTGGAGAAAGGTATTGCAGCAGAGGCAAGGTGCTGCCAGGTCATATCTATGCAGAAGTGGTTGTTGCAGCAACAGCTAGTGCATGAAAATGGGACGAGAGGATGAGAGGTGGAGAATAAAAGGTGTCCAGTGACTGTGTCCTTCTACTAACAATTACAACACCTGCATGAATAAGCCATTCATAAGATATTGTTTTCTGTAAGAAACTTATTTTCATTCATTCAATAAATATGTAGGTAACAAAAACTATTCAAACCAGAACTGGGGCTTATTATAACTTGGAAAATCATAATTCTTAGCATCACTAGTAGAATTACAGGGTGATGACTCCCCCATTGTAAATATATAGGAATTGACTGTAAAACAGAACCCAGAACCAAAATGTACAGCATATGAGGCCATTTTCAAAAGTCTGACTTTAGATAGGTCGTGCTTGTACTCAAATATTGCTAATCCACTAACTACAGGTGATAGACAAGGAGTACCAGTAGTGAGTTATGAAGAGTATTCATTTGTATTTATTTATTTATTCATTTTTTCTTTATATCTAAATATCTTATTTTAAAAAATATTTTTATAAAAGTTGAACAAGTAGCGTAATGAACTCCACCCACAAACCCTTCACCCAGATTCATCAACGCCCAACACTTTGCCGTACTTGTGCTCACTCTCTCTCTAATAATAAACAGAATACATAGAGATGTTTGTTATTGCAGTTAAACCATTTGAAAGTAGCAGAAACTTCCCCTCCATATACGTCAGTTTGCATATCCTAAGAATGCCTAATTTTTCAATACCTTTATCACGCCTAAGGAGTTTAACATGGGTGCAGTACTATCTAATATACATGCGTGCTCACGTTTCACCAGCAGTCACAACAATGTCCTTTTATCTGTTGTTGTTGATGTCCATCCAGAATCCAACCAGAGATCACACATGGAAGTGACATGTCTTTTTAGTCTCTTTTAATTTAGAACAGGTCCCTAGCCTATTTTTGTCTTTCATGAAACTGACTTTTTTTTTTTAAGAATTCAGGCCAAGTGTCTTATAAAACGTTCAACAATCTGCCTTTGTCTAATGATTACATTCAGATTAAACAAGTTTCGTGGGGATATCACATGCTTAATACTGTATCTTTCCCACTGCATCACATCAGGAAACTCACAACATCAGTTCGGCCCAGTTTGGTGATGCTAAGTTTGATGACTTGACTAAGGTGGTGTCCACCATATTTCTCCACTGCAAAAGCGCCTCTTCCCTTTTAAATCAATAAACCATCTGTGAGATAATACTTTGAGACTCTGCTAATCTTCTGCTCATCAAGAACCTTTCACCCAATGGTTTTACCATCCAGAGATGACCCTACTTGAATTGATTATTGCATTGGTCGTTGCAAAATGGTGAGAGTCTTCATTATTAATGAATGGAAATAAATGGATCCTGCATAGCATAATAACAATTTATTTATTAAGTATTCATTTCCATTTTG